CACCAACTATTGTTGAATGTTTTTGCATTCAGTTCTGCCAGTGCTTGTTTCACATATTTTAAGACTTTCATTTTATTTTATTATTTTTTGTATGTGTACCGTCAAAATGGATCTGACTGGTACAGGAGGAGATTGCCCCTCCTTCTCTAGCAGAGCATCTGGTGGATTCAAACCGGGTATCTCTGGGATTGCAGTGCAACTTCTTGCCACTAGGCCACCGGAACTCCCGAGACTTTTAGAGTACCTAGTAGTAAAGAGTTGCACTGGCAACCTAAAGGGGCATGGTTCAAATGCACGAGTTGCTCCACAGGAGAAAGATGGGCTGTTTCCTTTCATGCTATTTACTGCCTTTGAAAACCATCTGAAGATTCAGCCATGGGTCAGTTCTGACTCTGGTACACAACAACATTATAAAATATCTTTTCTCTTTCATAAAAGAGCTTTACTTAATATATTTTTTCTGATTTTAGTATAACCATTCTACCTCTTTTCTGGTTACTATTTCTAAAAAATTCTTTTATTCCGATGTATTATTTTAATTTTATTACATCTTGATGTTAATCTGTTTTAGACAGCATGAAGTTGGATAGTGTTTTAAAATCTATTTTGTCAGTTGTTGCTTTTGGATTGGAGTTGTTTTTATATGTCATTGAGTTGGAACTCACTCATGGTTGACCTTCCAGTGGGTTTACAGAGGCTGTAAATTGCACAGGAATAGATTGTCCATCTTTCTTTTAAGGAGCAACTGGTGTATTTAAACACACTTGCCTTTGAGCTGATAATGTTACTCCTTACCGCTATTCTGAATAGTTCAAATTTAGAATTAATTACAGATCATGTTGAACTTCTATCCCGATCTTTTTGCCATTTGTTTTTTTGTATGTGTCAGAACTTTTTTGTCACTCATTTGTTCTTTTCTGGCTTGTTTCTGATTTGTGTATATGTGTGTGTGTGTTAAGTGCCACCGAGTCATAGACAACTCATAGTGATCCTATGAACAAAAGTCCTGAACACACCTACCTTCCATCGTTTTCTCTAAGTTTATAGAGTTTCCAAAGGCAAGCTATTTTAGAAGTGGATGCCATTCCTGCTTCCAAGCTTGTTTTAATTTGAGAGCTCCATTAAACACTGTCCAACCAAACTTAAAAGTCAGTAGCATTTTACTTTTGCAATGAGTTTGAGTTTTAACAACAAGATCAATGTGATAACTTTGGAATTACATTCTGCCCCTCACCAGTGCTTGCTTTTATGATTGCTAAAGAGAGTAATAGTACATTTATTTAGTAGATTACCCAAAGTATTTTTGTAAATCTTTGCTCATGTAATTGTCGCTACCAATGATTTTTTTTTATTTCTCCAGTTTCTAATTACAATTAATTGTTATTTTTCTTTCACTTAAAAAACCTTCCCTTAACATTTCTTATAGGGCCCATCTTGTAATGAAAGCCCTCAGCTTTTGTTTATTTAGAAATGGCTTCGTTATGGTCAGTTTTGCAAGATACTGAAATCCCAATTAATAGGACTTGCTTTTCTCTCTTCATTTCTGTGATGTGACAACTCTTTTTTTTTTTTAATAACTTTTTATTGTGATTTGAGTAAACATTTACAGAGCACAGTGGTTTGCATTCAGCAGTTCATACATTCACATGGTGACAATATTCTTCCCTGTGTTTCTTCATTTCTATTTGTTTTTCTTTCCTGTCAGCCTCCTGCCTTCTGAGCTTTTTCTCTGAGTACATCGCACTCTTTTGATCTCTTGAATAGTAGTATATTTTTATTTAAGAGGTAAATTCTTCTCAACACCCTAACAAGTTTTTCCTGCTTGGAACTCATGGATTTTTTTTTTTATATGCATGCTTTTCATGTCATATTTGCGTAGATTTAAATTTTTCATCATATTTTGGCACATGGAGGGGTTTCTGTCTCCCCACTTTTCTTTTTGACACTCTTGTAATGTAGGCTGGTCCTCTTTATTATGCCTCACAGATCGATTCCTTAGGTACTATTTGTCTTTTTCTTTTTGTCCTGCTTCTAAGAGCGAATATTTCAGTTGTCCTGTCTTTGCATCAGCTGATTCTTCTGTCTGCTCACAACTGCCACTGAGATGCTCTAGTCATATTTTCATTTCAGTGACTGTATGTTTTAGCTACAGAATTTCTGTTTGATTCTTTTTAATAAAAATCTCACTTGGTGCATACATTGTATTCTAATACGCTTTAGGTTTTTTCTTCAGATTTCCCTTTAGTTCTTGCAGTTATTTCAAAAGGTAATTTTAAAATTTTTGCCTAGCAATTCCAACATGTGAGTTGCCTTAGATATGTTTTCTACCCATTTTATTTTGTTCCTTTCATTTTTCCATGCATTCATTTGTTTACCTTATAATTTCTTTGTCAGAAACTGCCCATTTGAAAATTACATAGCACGGACTGCAAAAGAACTAACAAGTTTGTATTAGAAGAAGTAAAACTGTATGTTTCTTAGAAGTAAGGATGGGAAAGCTTTGTCTCACATCCTGCAGATATGTTAACAGAAAGGTCTAGTTCTTAGAAGAAGAACATCATGCTTGGAAAGATAGAGGGTCTGAGAAGGAGTGGAAGCCTCACAGAGAAATAGGCTGACACGGTGACAGCAACAAAAAGTTTAAGCACAGTAGAGCTTATGAAAATGGCATGGCAGTGGGCAGGGGTTTGTTCTGTTGTGTGTAAGGTTGCTGTGAATTGGAGCCAATTTGATGCATGTAGTCCATAGCGGGTAGTGCAAATGATCCAAAGGGAGCACTTCTTTGGCAGTTTCAATCCACCAGTAGCTCTGTGGGAGAGAGATGAGCAATCTCCTCTCATTTGATTTACAACCTCCGAAAACCCCCTGAGGGTCAGCTATGAGTTGGTTCCAACTCAGTGACAACCAGTTTGAGTTTTAACAGCAAGAACAATGTGATAATTTTGAAATTACATTCTACCCCTTCACCAGTGCTTGTTTTTATGATTGCTAAAGAGAGTAATAGTACATTTATTTAGTAGATTGTCCATTGTATTTTTCCAAAGATAATATTCCTTGTTATGTCTGTTACTGAAATCTATCCCTCTCGTTTGTGGTCACCTAGTATCTTAACATACACCTTTTTTGAGCACTAGAGTAAAAAAAATAAAGAAAGATGGCAAAAAGTGATGCACAAATTAACTTCTCCTAATCTTTGCGTTATCTTTCTGCTGAAGACTTAACCAAACATGCACTGAGCCCAGAAATCAGCCTGAAGTGAAAGCTTGGGGTTTTCTTCAGGTTCTTCTGCCCTAGGCATTGGTGACGTTTTCAAACTTTCCCTGTACACCCAGGTGCTTGCCAATGCTCTAATTTCCCAGAGAAACTCTCCCCAACTTTCCTTCCACACTTCACATGCTATTTTATAACTGTTACCTTTTGCCCTCTTCATCTGCAAATTGTTCACCTTCTAGTGTTTTTGAGTATTATCAACTGCTTTTTCATCCTGAGTGAGTTTTGAGTTCTATGGAAGGGAGGCTAGTGCCTTGCACCCGTCCTGCAGGTAGCCCATAAACAGGCTAGAGCAGACATACAGAGTGATTTTCAAATAAGTTCTGCACCGTTCCCTTGGGAACCGGGAAATAAGCTCCCATACCAGGAACACAGACTCCTGTTGAGCCTGGGAGCAGGTGGGCAAGGAGAAGTAAGTTTCACAAAACTCCTTCTGTTTTTAAGTTTGGCATCACTTGGTTGGTGTAAACCTTGGGTTGTTTTCCAGAATTCTCACCAAGTTGGTTCTGACAGTTTATGCTTGTTTTCAGTATTTCTTTGGGAAAACTAGAGTTGGGAACTGCCTGTTCACTATTTTAAAGGTTAAATAGTACATGGTTGTTCTAATGTGATCCTTCTTCCTAAACTTGTCCCCCAAACATCTTGTACTTTTTTCCGCGGGGTCCTCTTGCATGACCTATAAGCAAATCATTTGGTACTAACTGATGTTTTTCCAGAGATCTGGGCTTAAAAAAACTTTAATAAAATAAAACAAACAAAAAACCCCAGCAGCTTTTTTCTTTTTCCTATAGAGATATTTACATATAAAGTTTTATAAGGTTGTCTTTCCTTTTTTAAGATTCTGTGATGGAGTCCTTCTCAATTAGCTATCTGAAAGATTTCTTTGTTTTTATTGTTGTTTGGTAGTATGTGGTTGGACCACATATCTTTTTAAATGAAAGTTCTTTTTTGATGCAAGCTCATAGTCCAAGATTGAAAAAGTCAGCCCAGTATACACAAGGCTTCCTGCTTCCTCTCTTGAGAAACACTTTGTTGTTTAAGATTCCTGGATACACTGTTGTTCATATGCACATCACATGGTGACACACTAGACACACTTCTGCGTAGATATTTTTCCTTTAATTACACACTTTGGAGAAATTCCTTTTCAATATAGAGAGGATACCTTGTTCTTTCTAATACCTATAGGAGTGTCTACAGGATAATTATCTGTAGTTTCCACTGTAGTTTATGTAGTTAGTTCTCTGATTATGGTCCTGGAGCTTGGTTTTGATTGTTAGCTACTATCATCAATACTGCAATAAAGGACATTGTATAAATTCCATGTTGCACATGTGCAAAATAAATTCTAGAAATGGAATCACTAGATCCAAGGAGAAGCATATTGATACTCTGGATGAGTATTGACCATTTGCCTATGATGGGAGTTGTATGAATACCCAGCCATTGTGTGGGTAAGAATGTTTATTCACATCGTTGGTACTGTTGAGGCTTTCACCAGTTGGGGCCTGTCCCATCGGATGGTGTAAGGTGGATCTCAGCAGGGGTGAAGCAGCGGGGGTTTCAGAGGTCTGGCCCTTGGGTAGAGACATTTTCTTTCTCCTCCACCTGTGTGTGTGCTGCGCTGCTGAGGGTTCTGCTGTCATGTCAGCTCCAGCCTGTCTCCCCTTGTTTGTAGCCCCCTCTGCTAGTCTTCACTGGACTGAGGCTTTTCTGTTCTATGGTTTCAGAACCGAGTTTCTTCATTCAAGGACATGATCTTCTGCTTCTCTGAAGAAGACTGGTCTCTTTTAGACCCAGCCCAGACTGGCTTCTATGGAGAATTCATCATCGGGGAGGATTGTGGAGTCGCGCTGCCTCCGAGTAAGCGTCAACGCCCCTCTCACCCGATGAAGGGGGCTAGGGTGGCGGGTGGGGTGGATGATAGCTCTCTGCCCCTGAGTAAGAAGAGTTAAGTTCTCACCACCTAGGTTCAAGGAGGGCCTCCATCCCATCAGGTAACAGTTAGTTACATTCTGAAGATCCGAGAACTGAGGAGCGTGTTCTCTCCAAAGTACAGTTACCATCTCCTTGAGATCAGGGAGCCATGAAGGTCTTCCTCCTGAGTAACTCATTGAACTCACTAAAGAGTTTAGGGGATCTTGCAGCCTCTGAGTAAGTGTTGACTCCGCTCATTTAAATCTGCCTGCCGAAAAGGAGAGGCCATGCTTGGGTCAGTAATGTTCTCATTGGCACCTGGGGAGGCCTGTGGGCTGGGACAGGGTGGAGATGGTCTTGCTCCCTTCAAAGAAGAGCTTAATTTTTCCTTACCTGAGATCAAGAATTGAGTCTAACTGTTTCTGAGTTAGCAGTTTTGAATAATAGTAGTTAACTCCCTGGTCCCTAGTGATAGGAGCGAGCTTACAACCTCTAAACAAGAGTTAACGTCCCCTTACCCAAGACCAGAGACCTGAGTATAGCATCCGAAAGCTGTTGTCTACCACCACCCTGATGGAGGTTTTCTGTGCCCGGTGGTTCTGCAGAATTTTTTTGCATTGACCTTAGCCTACCATCTTACCAGCAACACTTGAGTAGGCTTACTTGAATACAAAACTAAAAATATTTTCTTTTCCATACATCCCCTTTCCCATACTCTGTAGTCTTTACTTTTGTCTTTACAACGAATCAGCCCTCAAAAGATGTCCTAAGCCCACTGCAGCCCTTTCCCTTTCTGGCTCCACCTCTCTCAGTTCTCTGCACTGTGCCGGGTGCCTACTTGTCATTACCCACGGTGCCTGCCTTCACCTTCTCTTTGCTGGACCTGAGGTCAGGTTCCTGTGAGTAAGCACTATCGGTACGTTCATGTCTCCTTTTCTGTGAGCAGGCGACCCAGCTGTCCAGCCAGATCCCTTCCAAGGGGAGGAGAACGAGCCACGGGTTCCAGAGCTGCAGGACCTCCAAGGGAAAGACGGGCCCCAAGTCTCCTACCTGGGTGAGTGAGGATCCTAGAACTGAGTGGACGGGGTGGAGGCAGGGCAAAGGTGCTGCCTTGCCAAAGGCTCTCTCACTCTCAACACGGAGAAACTCTTCAGCCAGCTTGGCTCTATCTTGATAGAACATGTTTTATCTTACCCCTGACGCTTAGCAGAAAGAATGTGAGAGCGTTATTTTGCCAAGGATGAGGCTTTTGCTTTCAGCCAGGGACTAGGAAATAATAGAAATAGCTGTCTTACTTGCTCTCTGTAGATAGCAGGTAGTTTTTATTGAGGTTCCAATGAATTCTTTATGAGTTAAAAACAAATATGTTGAGCCATGCTGGGAAAGGGATTCTAATAGTGCCTTGAAATCTCTGCTTCTTCAGGGGAAGATAACAGAATCAACAGCACCGCCACACCTCCTTCCCCTTGGGGACCTAAAGCTGGAATGCAGTGGGCCAAGTTTTGACTTACCATCTGGAGTAAAGTTTTGACTTACCACCGGGAGTAAAGTGACTGCATGTGACTGGTGCACATTAGCCTGGAGGCTTGCACAATAGTCTCTGTTCCCTACCTCACAAGGCTCCATAGGTGGTGAAAATGAAGTACAGTTGTGTCGTAATTACTTGTCCACTGTCACAGAGGCAAACATGGCAGAACTGGGATTTATGTTTAGTTCTTTCCAGCTCAAAGCAACGTCTGTGATGCGGGGTCACCAGTTTTCGAATCTCTACCTAGCATATATGAAGATATGTCCTTTAATTGCCAGAGAAATCTTTCTGAAAAAAATTTATTTTTTTTCCCCCAAAGATTTTCAGAGTCTCCAGCCATTCCAGATTGAAGAAAGAAGAAGAAATGAGCCTCAGGTGCCAGATTTCCAGGCCTGCCAGCAGATGATGCTTTCTCAAAACAGTTACCCAGGTAGAGTGAGTGGGTGTGGGTTTGGGGATGGATGGGCGTGGGGATGGGGGTGGGCATGGTAATGAAGGGGGGATTAAAAACTACATTTGGAATAACCTACAGTTCCTTCCCTATGGAAACCTACAACCACTCCACCCTTTGTCCCTGCTCACTTTTGTGGCATTTATCGCATTCTTACTTTGTTTTGCTAAGATCTATCCCAATTACATACAGGCCTTTTTTGCCTTACCTTTCCTTGTATTTCAGGGTAGAATGCTGATGTAGCACCATTTACTATGAACTGAGTTGTTTGAATACCCTCCTCCTTGAGCATGGAAGGCCATTTGTAGAGGAGAATCATGGAATCTGCTTAGATAAAAGCAAAAGATATTTATTGAGTGGTGGAGATAGTCCAGACCAAGGAAATGTGCTCAGTCACAGAAAGAAAATAGCCAATCTGCCAGGCAGTAAGGGATACTTTCTTATACAGTTGGAGAGGGAACCAATAGTTACAGCATTCCTAATTGGCTGAAGGATCATCAGAGTAGTTAAAGGCAGGATATTTAGAATCAAGAATTTGGCAGGGATAAATGAACAGCACATAAAAGGGATTGCGTGATTGCTTAAGGGTACATACCATTCAGTTTTTTGCAGGGTGACCACAGGTTGGAGGCATGACAGGTTTTTCTGGTAGCCCATTAGTAAAAGCATTTCCTCACCTATGTCTCTATGTTTCTAGGGTGTCTGTTGCAAAGATGTCTTGATAAGCAAGAACCCCTGGGCACATCTATTTGACTGTAGTGGAAAGACCTTTTGGGAATAGCTTGTGATATCCTGCACCATAGGGTCGCTATAAGTCAGAAACAACTCGATGGCACATAACAACAACAACATCCTGCACCTGCCAGACATCTGAGAAAAGAATGTCTTCTTTAGGGTATATGGTCAGATAAGCATCAGGGTTAGAGGAACTGCTGATGGAAAAGGCAGTTTTAAAAGTCCAACAGACATGGATTCCAGACACATATCAAGACCTAAGATGGAGTTGAGACTCCATTTTTAGACTGCTTTATTTACAGTCAGATTCCTAGGACAAAGTCTTGGAGTTAAAGAATTTCTGGAATGCCAGAGTTGAAAGGGACTTCTAGAGAGTGAGTATTTGATTACTGCCTTCAGGGAAGTAACTAAAATTTAAATTCTGAGTCATCTAGGTAAAACCTCTCCCTTCTGGAGACAAAACCAGAAATACGTTGTTGGTTCCATATTTCTTCTAAAAACCAAAGCCAGGGATCTGATTCTTCAGCTGAACTCCCATTTTGCTCTCGTGGCTTTTTAGAACTGTGGAGAGACCCACTGTGCACATTGTCTTACACTTGTGCTGCCTTTTGTGAGTCATTTCTACTTCACCCCACGCAGAGCTCCAGTTGTATGTGCTTGTCCCCTGCAGTGGGTGAGCAGAGGGGACTTTACAGTGTGGGAGATGTTGCCCCACAAGTCTGACTTCACTCCTTGGCTTTCCAGAGCCGACGAAGCTGCATGCCAGTAGTGGCATGTTCACGTTTAGCCAGCCCTCAGTTTAGATACATTCTTGATGTTCGCTTTGAATCCTCCCTGGCTTCTGACTTCCCATGACTTGTCTCTTAACACCTTCAACATCCTTTACAAAGAGAGTGTTCATTGTGCAAAGGGGAGTTTTCAACTCAGTTCTTAGTAAGTCTGCTCTGAAATGGCAAGAAGACAGAAGCTGTTATCTGAGAAGAGGGAGAAATGATGAAACCAAGAGGAGACTGTGTGTGTGTGTGTGTGTGTGTGTGTGTCTGTGTGTCTGTGTCTGTGTGTGTGTCTGTGTCTGTGTCTGTCTGTCTGTGTCGCTCTTTCTGATAGCACATGGAACGCCTGTGTCTTCATGTCTTCATTCAGGACAGGGGCTGTTGGGGTTACTAAGGTGTATTGCTCATCTGCTTTCTTTCCTCAAGGAATTCTTCACACTGTTGCTGGCACACAATAACACTATTGTTTCATCCTGCTGTCTCTTTAAAAAGAAAATTAGCAAGGGGATGTTATCCTATACATTTTATCTGACATGATTCTGTGTTTTCACTTAACTGATTAAAGAGAAAATGTTGTCATTCACAAGAACGCTTAAACTTTCTTTCTCCCTCCACCCAAATCCAGTAATGGCTAACTGAAGCAAATTATAGATCAAAAAGATAGGAAAGACAGGTAATAAAATTTAAATAACATCTTTCTTTATTTGTCCCCATGTGCTCCATAAAATATGCTTACATGCAAAGCTTCTTGTACCACCAGCATCATGGAGGGCTGGGTTCAGGCAGGCGCATTCAGCCTGTGGATGAGACAGTAGAGGTTTGAAGGAATCATTTGCCTAGAACTTGCAGTCGGAAAACAGGCACAGCTTCTGGTTCCATGTCCATTGATTTCTTTCTTGTACTCAGCACATTTTTATTGTTTCTCTTTTTTTTCCTGACTGCCTTCTAATTCCTCAGTGTCATTTCTTCTTCCACCCCACCCCACGCCCACCTCCGCCCCTTTGGTCTCTTAGTGACTTACAAATGCCTGCTGAGCGTTGTTTCCCTTCTCCTTCCTGCCCTCAGTAGCTTCTGGTCTTCTTGTCCTGCCCTGTCCTGCATGTGAATTATTCAGTGACACAGGATGGATTAGTGCTTCACTTTTCTAACAGGTCTGAAGTCTCCCACCAGCAATTAAACCCAGACTAACCACATGACTAATACCTGAAACGGTCCTGCACTATGACCCCTGTGCTTTCTTAATTTTGATTCTAAGACTAGAGACCCACCTTTCAAACTTGAAAAGCCTGAGTGAGAGGCTCTAGGACAACATCCAGAAGTTCATGTCCTCCTTTCCACAGATGTTCCCCCCTTGTGACACCATTTTTCCACATCATAAACACCAGGGACACTGAGCCTACATTTGGACTGCTCTAGAGAAGCAGTCTAAGCTCTAAAATCCAGAACGTCTATACCAGTGGGTGCCAGGGAGAGATCTTCTGAGTGTAGAGGCATTGAGAAGGGAGAACTGTGGTGTTGAAGCTACCGTGACCTTGAGTAGCTTTGACATTGGGCAATGCAACAGGACTAGACTAGAGTTCCGCCTTTCCTGCATGGTATGGGGCATGTCACCTTAGTTTGCTTGGGTGTATAATGCAACAGATATGTTATCACTGGTTTGTGTTCCAGAGCAAATGGGGCTCTGCATGTGGAGAGTTTGCCCAAATCCTGGAGAGGTTTTGTGTTTAGCGGTAAAAGAGCTGGCACCTTTCTGGAACTCTCTTTATAAAGTAAATGCTCCCTCATGGCTAATTCTTTAGCAGGTCTTGTTAGAATGTTTCATACACTCAGTTAAATAACCTAGTAACTTGTAAGTCACCAAGGCTTTAAACAGATAAATACAGACTCAGATCTTAAAGGTACCTCAGTGGCTACAACAGAGAATTGGCTGTGGGGAGTTAGTGGAAAACAGGAATGAAGGGGAAAGAATAAAGATGCGTGTAGGGTGACTACTCTGAGCCCTGCTTTTCTTCTTGGTCCGGACAAAGATCCTGTAGGGCTGGTCCTGGGCTTCAGTCCCCTGAAGTACCTTCCAGAACAAAGCCTATTGGTCTGGATCCTCAGGGGATAGCAGTGGTGACCTCTCTAAGTGCCGCTCATCTCATTGTCAATTTTCCTTAGCAGTCGATGGCGTGCTGACCCCAGAGAATGGCCTCAACGAGGAAGTGTCCATCGAGATCGTCCTGTCCAGCTCAGGGAAGAAGGACTCTCAGAACAGCTCTCACTGCCCAGACGAACCACAGGGCTCTGAGGAGAAGCAGCATGTCACCCCCAACACCCACAAGAGCAGTTCCGTGGGCTTCCCCGACGTGGAAGGGGCTGTCCAGACCTCCTCCAAGAAGTCCTATGTGTGCCCTAACTGTGGGAAGATCTTCCGCTGGAGAGTGAACTTTATCAGGCACCTGCGGAGCCGCAAGGAGCAGGAGCAGCCTCACGCGTGCTCCGTGTGCGGGGAAGTATTCAGCGACAGCGAGGACCTGGACGGGCACCTGGAGATGCACGAGACCCAGAAGCCTTACACATGCAGTGCCTGCGGGAAGAGCTTCCGCCTCAACTCCCACCTGCTCTCCCACATGCGGATCCACCTGCAGCCAGACACCCCCGAGCCCCCAGAAAACAAAGAGCCAGGGCCGTCAGAGCACAAGAGCGGCAGCAGGGCTGCCTCCCTGCTGGAGAAGAGCAAGGGCAAGTTCAGCTTCAAGTGCTGTGACTGTGGAAAAGCCTTCCAGCGGCATGACCAGTTGGTCCGGCACAGGAACAGCAGCCACACCAAGGACAAGACGAGCGCTTTCCAGTGCCGGTACTGTGTCAAACGTTTCCTGCAGAACTGTGACCTCATCCGCCATGAGCGGCTGCACATGAAGCGACGCTCTAAGCAGGCTTTGAACTCCTACTGACTGGCCCCTGTGGCTCCACCGTTGGTGCATTCCTCCTCTGCCTCAGCCCTGGCAGCACGTCTCACTCACAGTGGTACTAAGTAGCCCTCTTCCCCATGACACACCTCCCCAGGGATGGAGACCACCCTCCCCCCGTGCCCTTTGTTCTCAGGTAGTGTCCACCTTTTACCTGATGCTACATTAGTTCCCCAAGTAATGAGAGAGTGGCCAGATGAGTATTTGTTCTGCCCCTTGTGCCAAAAAGCAGGGAAAGATACCATCATCTGCTTTGTCTCTCAGTGACTGAGTCAGCCTGGTGTTAACTGTGTCTGACAGACTTCACTGAGTACACAGCTAATGAGGTGGCGTGAGCGTCCCCGTCACAGCAATCCCCCTGATGTCTGTGCTTAGCCAACCATCTCTTGATACACTACCTCCTATTAACTCATGTCTGAATCCCCCAGATCTAGATGTTCTGACAGTGGCTACAGTTTATATTTGACAGTGAGAAGTTGCCTCCTGGGTGCTGGGTTAGAAGGAAGGCAGGAATACAAGGTGGAGACAAGAGGGTTTGAGCTCCAGGTTGGGATCGGTTCCTCTGGGTCCCAGGGGGTACTGAATGTGTGCCTCATCCCCACGGATCCCATGGTTACCAGGTGACCTTTTTGGGAGGTAGGTTGTGGGCTCTAGAGCCACTCGTGCAGCGGAAACCACGTCAAATCTTTTGACTTGTCCTGATGACCAGTTCATGAGGATCCTCAAGGATGAAAGCCCACGTTTTAAACTTTATGTCACACACCCTCCCCAAAATGCCTTTTCTCTGTACCCTAGAAGTCCTTGGTAAATGCTTATGGAATGGAAATTGAGCTGTCCTCATTTAAAAGACACTTAAGTTCTACCTCTCACTCTGTCCTAAAAATAAAGAGCTCAGGCTCCACTGAGGGGCTCTTTGGCCGAGTGAGCTGATCAGATCTCTCCAAAGAGGGAAAGGGAACCTTTCATGGGAGTCATATTTTACATAAGTACTAACTTAGCTTGCCAAGTCATCCTGAGAAGCCACTGTTATCCCTGGTTCTCAATGAGTCAACAGAAATCTAACTTAGCTTACCCGTACTTAATAGGAGCCCAGGATTTTAGCCCTTGTGTCTGCTTTCAGGGTCAATGAATGTCTTCTGCACAGAAGAAATTTTTTTAATTATTATTATTATCTTATGTTGTTGAGAATATATACAGCAAAGCATTCAACTGTGTCTATATATAAAATTTAAGTATGTTGATTACATTCTTCAAGTTGTACGACCATTTTCGCCCTCTTTTACTGAGTTGTTGCTCCCTCTTTAATGTAAACTCACTGCCCTCTAGGGTTCCTGTCTATTTGGAGTTACTGTTGTCAACTTTGATTCCCATATAGATAGATCTTAAAAGAACAACTTGTTCAGACTCTGCACAGAAGTATTTTAAATATTAGCTTTTAAAGTTTGGAGCTTATGGCTCTGGACTGAGAATGACCATTTATAATAAAGTGTTAAGCAGTTATGCCACCTCATCTCATTAGGTAAAAAAGGCAAATACATGGTCTTATTGTCAGGGATGGGAGAGTTTCCTTTGTGGCACAAACTGTTAAGCGTTTGACTGCTAGCTGAAAGGTTTGCAGTTCAAAAACACCCTCTCCCCCTAAGTACCTTCAAAGACAGGTCTGGTGATCTGCTTCCAGAAGGAAGCACTGTGTACTCTGCACACATGGGGTTTACCATGAGTTAAAATTGACTCACTAGTGACAATGATTGTTCCTGTGAGAGTGGTTATGCTAATCTCTGCTCACAGATGGTACAGCATCTGGGCTGTAGTGTGCATAGCTAGAGCTGGATTCGGAAGCCAGTAACAGGTATTTTTGTATTATTTGTATATCAGAACGTACCCATGAACAGTAAGGATAGGAAGTGGAGTGGGAGGTGGTCCTTTGCTCCTATTCATCCATGAAATTTTAACTGTCTCAGTTTTCAGTAAGTCCCTACCCTAATGAAGGAGTTTTATAACTACAGTTGATGTTCTTTTTTGTTGTTGTTGTGGGGTTTGGTTTTTGTTGGTTGGTTTTGGTGTTGTTGTTTTGTTGTTTTGGGTTTTTTTTTTCCTTTTAATGTGCTTACACACAAAGAAATGCAATAAAACCATTTGGTCATTCCTTGAATAAGAAATAAAACTATTGAGGTGCTGAGTTTCTAACTAGTTTGCCTCATGTATTGATCCACCCTTAAAAGGAGAAAACAGAAGGGCAAGGGAGAGAAGAATTTTACTTGGGAGCCAGGTTCTTCGGTGTTTACAGACCCACCTGTGTGCACTCCTAGTAACTTCAGAGCCTTGGGGAGGTATTTCGCCCTTGTCTCAGCTATCTGAAAGAAGGCCAGTGCTCAGCTTATCAGTGTATTTTATAGATGAAGAGTATAAAAGGGATGAAAGGCATGTAAGGGAGCTGAAGCCAAAAATTTGAGTCTCTTGAATCTACACCAAATGGTCTGAGTGAGGAAGGCAGGCTGTTCTGTAATCCAGAATCACTTACCCAGTGCCGCAAAGATCATAGACTAATTTGAAGGAGGTCTTGCTTTTAGATCTGGAAACCTGCCTGGATAAAGTGGCTAGATCTCAATAATTCACATGCCGCGTGAGTTGGTTAGGTTATTTGCTCTGGGGAAGATTCCCCTAGATGCCCCTTGTCCCAGCCCAGAAGGACTGACCTCATGATCCCCCCTGCCTCCCTGGCTAAGTGACTTCTTTGTCTTGCCATGGAGTTTCACAGGCCTGCATCTAAGTAAAAGGAGCTCTGAAGGCATAGTCTGGTTTCACTGCTGACCCAAAGGCCATATGTCACGGCAGCTCTGAGAGAAAAAATGGGCAGTGTCTGCCTTAATTCCATAATCCCATGGATGTGTAATAAAATTCATTGAGCCAATAGTCATAGTAGATTTTTAATTTTAAAAGTGAATCACATCAGAGAGATGACAAGTTGGCCTGACAAAGCAAGTGTGAGATACTTAAATGTGCTTTGTACTTCACATATTGTTGCATGAGATTTTTAGGCCGTTCACTGTTCTGGCCATGTGATCTGACCCCTTTCAAGAAAGGAGAGGCTCTAACTTCTTTAATACCTGGGATAGGTGGTGACAACAACTGATCTATGGCTGTTTTTAATACATTCTCAATCTCTATGACTCTTAACCCTCATTGGAAAAATGAAAGAATGAGGCAGTGGTGGAAATGTTTCTCATTAGTCTCACCATGGAAGAGCTGAACAAGAGGTAAGATTGAAGCTTGCAGAAAACTGTTACAAGTACATCATACTATGAGATACTTTCTCTCAAAAGGAAAGCTTATTAAAGCACAGGACACTTCTGCTTACAAAATTACATAGGACATTTAAATAGGCTTATCATGTCACCAGTTCCACTGGTAATTAGAATGCAAAAAATTAGATTGGAAACAAAGAAGGATCACTAATTGGAAAATATAGTGCTCATGGAAGTAATGCCAGAGATCTCATGATAAAATTTTACAAGGCCAGTCCTTGGAAGTGCCGCCAGCTTGTTCTTTAGAATAGAGTATGGTGAAACTTTCTCTCACATGCTTTGGACTAGGTGTCTGGAAGGGCCAGATATCATGCTGGTATAATAGAGTGTCAGTGAACAGTAAGTAGTAAGATCCTCAGTGCTGTGCATATAAACATGAGCTTAAACAAAAATAAATCATAGTGATTTGTAAATAAAGTTGTCTTGAATCTGAACTGGTTCCTCACATCAACAGCCATGAGCAACAACAAGTGAATTTTTCTGTTATGAAAAGTATTTTGTAGCCTAAAATGGGCCCTTTAATGGCCATTTGTTTTCCATACCAGGCAAGATTATGTATTAGTGGGCATGTTTAAGAAAGTAGACTGGTCAGGAAAGGAGTGCTGGAAGGAAGATTGGTTGGCCCAGCCTCTCCTGCCACCTTTTTCTACAAATCTGTTATGTGACGTTGAGTCAGCTTTGACGTACAACAACCCTATGAATAACAGATCTGAACCTTGTCCAATTCTGCACCATCCTCACCATTTTTATATGCTCAAGCCCATTGTTAGAGTCAATAAACTTCATTGAGCATCTTAACTCTCTTCATCTGTTCCAGCCTGATGCCTTTTTTCCAAGGTCTGAACCCCCCTGACAATATACCTATAAGTATGTGAGATGAAGCTTCACCATCTTTGCAAACTAAGGAGCACTCTCATTGCACTTCCTCTATGGTTTGTTGGTTCTTAGCAGTCCAGAGGGTAGTGCTCTTTCCAGCACCATACTTCAAAGACATTGCTGCTTTTGTCATTCTTGTTTATTGTCCAAATTTCAGATGCATAGGAAGCAATTGAAAAGATCATGGCTTGGATTAACATCAAATAGACAAAAGTCCTTACCATAGGATGAACAGGCAACATCATGATAGATGCAGAAAAGATTAAATTTTCATTGAAGAGTTTATTTTACTTGAATCCACAATCCATGTCCATAGCAGCTGGAGTCAAGAAATCAAAAGCCATGTTGCATTGGGGAAATTGGCTGTTAATGACCTTGAAAAAGTCATAAAGAACAACATTGTCAGTTTAAAGACCAAGGTGTGCCTGTCCAAGCCTTGGTCCTTCAAGTAGGGGTACCCAGTCATATCACAGAGTTTAAATAATTTGAGATCCATGGACCCTAAAAAAGGATTAGTCTATTTGAGTGTGACAACTCAGTGCCAATTTCAAACTCCATCATCTCTCAAAGCCATAGCCTAGATGTGATCATAACACATAAAACCTTAAAAAGTTGAAGAAAATCCCTGAAGAAGATGCGTAAGTTTAAGAAAAACTCCTCAGGAATACATACAGATGTTGTTGATTCGAGTCAAGCACAACTCAGAGCAACCCTATGAACAAAAGACCTGAAGATAAGTAGGGCTCAAACCCCACCTTGACTGTTATTAAGTGCTGCTAAGTCACATACAACTCATAGTGACCC